TTGCCAGAAAAAACTTGCCTGTTGATCACAAAAGGGTGTGAAAAGCACACAAATATTCCCTTTTCCTATTTGCACATATACTGTCTTATACATGGCAAATTTTACAGTATTAAATATTATTAACTGCAGGAAACCCCTGAGTAGCTCTAGAGCAGCTAGAACAAAAGAAGAAAATTACTTTAAATTTGGCTTTCAGTAATTATTTCCTTATTTAAAAAGGAGGAAAGAGCTCTTCCAACCTAAACCATCTATATACACTTAGCACAAGTAATTCTGAAATTCTGTAAATCTATTTGAAATGATATAATTTATCCTAGTCAAGAACTTGCCTATTGAATTTGAACAACTCTAAATGATGTTTTTTGGTTCACTTTTGAAATGGAAGTGTTATGACTGTCAGAAGCAAGCTGAACCATTTTCTTTTTTCAATGTACAGCACAAGATTCCATCATTTAATCATTCCAAGTGCTTACGATCAGAAAAGTAAGGCAAGTTGTAAGGTCTGCATTACTGTAAACACTCCAATGACCTCTCATACCCCATGGCACACTAAGAATTCAATTTCACATTAATAAACCCTAACACCAAACTGTTAGAAACTCAGAAGACACCAGGTATTACAACTTACATAAATTACAGTCAAGATCAAATGGTCCGTATAAGCAATTGTACAGTGATAAAGCCTAAGTGGATGATATTTAAACAGATATTTGATTTACTGCAGAATTTTACATCATGCTAGAATTCAAATGACAATTTACAGGTCCAGAGGAAAGAAATCCCCGTCCCATGCAAACTACTGTTTGCAGCACTGTTTCAGAGGAGCTTGATTTTATAACTTTAAGAAAGAAATTCTTCGCTCTGATATTCTCGGGACACAGCCTTAGAAGCCAAACTATAAAACCTGACATTTAAAAAGAGAAGGAACAAGATACTTCTTCATCTCCAGGTAGGAAATAACATCCTCAGTCTTCTGTAAGCTAAGTCTCGTGAACCTAATTTTTGCAATCTGAAACATCTGGCTGTGGTTTCTTCCATTAAAAAAATGCTCTGATGCGAAGTTTGAGGGTATGTTTCTCAAGTTGTTTAGAGATGTACAAATGGTGAAGATTGTAGAACAAACAGCACCATCTCTTATTAATGGCAACACCACCACTAGTTAATAATAATCTGTTTTCCATCGGAAAAATCTGCATTTTGTACTCAAGTTTTAGACACCTCACAACAGTACTCCTGGCCAGCTTTTCCTCAATTCCTCAAAACAGTCCTGCTTTTCCTGGCTAAGAAAATTTGCACAAGAAAAAGAACATATGGAATAAAATAAAGGGCAAATTTGCAGAAGAGGAACCATGCACATTCACATTTTTGAACCAAACGAACACCTCAACAGGTTACAAATGGCTCCCCTGAGACCAGACAACCCTCTTATTCCCCAGCACTGAGCAACTATAGATAATTCTGGGTGGAAAAAATCATGATCCATCAAGGAAAAGATTTATCAAAGCAAAAAAATTGCAGATTTCCAATGTGATCCAGGAAAATCTCTTGGCCAATAGTTGCAGCAGCAGTAATTGTTCTAAATCTATCAATAAAGCTAAGCTGCTCCTTCATTGACTGCAAACACCAATTTCTTTCATGGAGGATTATAAGTTGGTGTTCACGGTTTCTCTACCACCATTAGGGTGATAAACAGTTTAAACTACATCAGGATCTGACATGTAGATCAATTCTGGGTCCATAAAGAATCTACACAAGAGGTTCCCGGACAGGGATTTACTGCCCCCAGTTTTTATTCTCTCTTGCTGCAAAAATTACTTCTGTCAAGTACTTACAAGACTAAGAAAAAAAAAAATGTAAAAAGAATTAATTTTTCATGTGCTGCTAGAACAGTCTTTTTAAATTTCTGAGTTTTTAAGGCAAATATGTTATTGCATTTAAAATTATGCTGAACAGCAGGTGGTATTTAGCTAAATAGTGAGCCAGTTGCATGATCTGCTCACTATCAAGCAGACAGCAATTTGAAACACTGAACTAAGCTGTCTAGATTTTCTCTGAGGGCAGACACGGGCTTCATGTTACCAGTGCCAAATTATATTAGACATTTAATTTTAAACCTCAGGTACTTAAATGTAAAACCTTACAACAGTAATAGTCATAAAGCAGTGGGGCATTCCATTTCAGAGAATGGATTTTTCTATTTTTCCCCTTTAATTTAACCAGCACCTCCTGTTTTGTGGCTCTGCCCACTACAAAGTAATTTATCTAATTAGGAGATGTTCACAGCTGCTTGAAAGACAGAAGCCCCAGGAAACCAAAGGTCTGGTTCAGAAGACTTTGAAAAGTTCTCCAGAGCCACACAAAGTATTAATTTAATGTGAAAAAAAGGTGCAGAGAAAAATTGAATCCCAATATGTTATTTTGTCTACAATAAAACCATGTGACAATAAGCAGGCATATTCTCCAGTACATTGGCATTTGAATTCCAAAAGATGCTTAGCTTCTCGCCATACCTGCTGCTTTCACAGTATTATCTTTTTATGACTAAAATTCAAAAATCTTTTAATAGAGGAAAAAACCCCTGAAATTAAAGAGAGTTTTTCATGCGTCAACTTGCCAGCATAAAGGACACATCTATGAGCTTATCGAAAGATGATACACTGATAGCAATGAATTATTCTTGAGGCTTTGTAGCAGTTTTATCGCAATACTTCTGTTTCTGCTGACCCTTGGTCGCCTAAAACTCACAGTTAGTCCAATTTTCCCCATATATTTAGAAAAACCGCAACTCTTTTTTTTTTTTGTTAAACTAGAACCTCTGCAAGAAGTTATTCAAGTCAGACTTATTCAGAAGTACCCACCAGTCATCTGCATTTTTTTAATACATACTTCATAGATAATTCTAGCTGTCATCTCTTTTGATCCAGAAGTAATCACATATGAACGTCAAGTCAGAAAAAGGTACTGCACATACTTGGAGTACAGAGCTCGTGTAGGAGAAAAGGTTCCCTTCACCAGGAATTTGAAACTAGCCAAAGCGCAGCATGAGGAGCAAAAGACAAGTCCAGCAAGTATCTCAAAAACAGAAACAGCATTGCAAAAGAAAAGGGAAGAGGCAGGAATTTAGGTTATATTTCTACTTTTCCACATATTAATTACTTGTCACTTATAGGAATTCTTGAATTCTGCATTTTGAAGATTTTCCTCTACTGCAGCCTCAGTTGTCACATCTGGTACTAAGGAGCACGGGGACGGCTTCTGCTCACCCATCTGTAGATATGTCAGGTGTCAAGGACAGGACCAAGGGACTACATCTTGGTTTTTACTTTCCTTCCTTCTAGTGCAAACAATATGCTTCAACTTCTCTTTGAAGAGCTAGAGTATAAAAAAAGGGCGCAAAAAGCCAAAAGTTTGATATAAATTTCTAAAATTAAAGTAGAATTGGGCTGGATTAAAATGATGAAGCAGCTCAGGAAAAAGAGAGAGCAATATATCGCCTTAACTGTGAAACCAGTTAAGTCTAAAGGAATTCGTGTTTGGCAATACTGCTTGCCCTAACAGACTACCCGGTTTCTAAAGGAAAGGGTGAGTTGGGTGGAGCCAGAACAGAACAGTGCTGAAGCATTTATCATGCTGCTTAGCAGTATCTCTGGCTATCACCAAGCTGAAATAGAGGAGGCTTGCTTTAGAAAGTTCTTGGTCGAAATCTATACCATTTTGATGCAAATATCACACTCCTGAAGATGCTGCCCACAAGTTTGGAGCTCCAGAAATGTCTGTGCTCCAGGAACTATGAACTTGAGAGCTAATGCCACTCAGAGCTAAGCAGACCAAGATTTAAAACTCTCTGTTCTCATAAAGTAGCACTGAAAAGCTGTCTTAGCAAAGAGTACTACAAAGTAGCTACTTTTAAGCAAAGTTGCTTAAAAACCCAGAGACAGTATCAGGGCTATACTCAATTCAAAACTTATACAGATACCTACGTATACACACACACACGTACGTATATATGGGCAGAGACAGTATCAGGGCTATACTCAATCCAAACCTTATACAGATACCTACGTATACGCACACACACGTATATTTGGAACATGTGAAATAGTTTTCATACTCATACTATCTTAGGGATAGCCACCAGAAACAGCTTTCCTCCCCTCTTCTCCTGTCCTATTCACATTTCTCCCCATTACCCACATTCTCAATTTCTTCTCAGTTCATTCTTCTCTTTCACACACTCATCTCCTTTTCCCCTCTGTTTCATGAACTTTCTATGGTTCCTCCTGGACATGCGTGCCTCACTAGTATGAACCACAACAGAAACACCTGAGTCCCAGCCCACCCACTACTGCTGCTCCAAGGATGCTCTCATTTGTGTAGGTCACCTATAGCAGGTCACCTATAGGTGAACAGCATTACATCTCTTCCTTCCCAGGCACACTCTTGAGGCGAGATACACCATTTTGTTACCAAATACCATGCATACCTTTTAAAAACAACCAACCCTGTCTCACTGTTACAATCTGATCATTGCAGAACACCATCTGGAATAGTGTTTGCTCCTTTTAATACTGTTAAACGCTCCACAGAGAAAACACGACGACTATGCCAGTAGTGTGCATACATTACAGCAAGAGCACAGCCAAGAAAGGACATGCTGATGAAAAGATGTGAAGGATAATTTACTGCTAATACCTACCACACAGAGTAAGGAAATAAGAATATCAAGTGAACAACCTACATTATGTACCTGAAATTAAACTTAAGCAGTATTACAATTACATTAGCTTTTCCTTCTGAAAAAGGATTGTATCAATCTGTTCTCTTTTATCTAATTTCTCCTTTTTCTCTCAGATGCTGGAAGTTTGGCTTCCCACAGAGTATCTGGGTGAACATCAGGTCTCTCTTTTTTTTTCTTTTTTCTTCTCTTTTTAAAAAAGCAAACCACCAAACTCCCCCTTCACCCCAAAGCAGATAACCCCTCCCAGCTCCAAGTTTCTTACCACTGCTAATGCCAGAGTTTGCAATGACTGTTGCCTCACTCCACTGATCTGCACTGGAGACCGAGTAAGAGCGCTGATGCATACCATCCGGACGACTGTTGAAGGAGACTAGACTGATCCCACTTGCCATCTGAGACACAGATGTGCTAGTAGTCACGTTCCCTAGATATAAATGGAAAACAAATTGTGTCAATAGAGAAGACAAAATTGATTTGCATGAAGATGGATGGGTGCTTCTTTACAGAGCAGAAAACAAGATTACTTAACCAACACAAAAACCACTGCAGCCCTCCTGAAACTCTGAAGACAACAGTCCTGTGACCAGTTTGCGGCACCAAAGATTTCAGTAGCCCACTCAAATCCAGCTAGGAACTTCTGACAAAAGAGCCTAAATTTTCAAGATGATAGCTCATTCTGTTCATTCATGTTCTGGAAAACACCATCTTCCTCAACCCTGCTAACCAGTCACATTTTGTATAGGTTCTCTACTTGTTACAGGTAGAGCACGAAAGACAGACTGTGCACAAACTCATTCATGAAAATCACTGTTCACACAAGCAACTGAGATGAGACAACTACGCCAACTCAGAGTTTTAAATGATCTACCTCTAAATAATAGGTACATAAGTACGTCCCCCAAGTGAAGCCAAGTACACAGCGATGGGGAGGCAAATAACTACTGGCATTGTGAGACCAAGCAAGAAACTTACTCTGATTTTTAATCTTAAACCTATATCATGACATAAAGCACACACTAGAGGCTTGTTCCATTGACTGCAAATATCATTCCTCAGTCCTACACCAACACACCCTTCACAATTCTAACTGAAGCCCTACAACACAAAAGGTGAGATACAAAGAATAGCCTTTACCCAGTAAACACTAGAAATAATTTTAACAGTTTCATGATCACTGAGGTCTAGGACAATAAAATTCTGGGAGGCGTGTGCAATAGGGACAGGTTTCTCACCATAAACCAGGAGAAGCTTGATCTGGTTGAATAATTTTTAGAGTCAGAACAATTAACACCTTTCCAGAAACTCAGGTTTCTGATGGTCTTACTCACAACTTGATATGGGCCAAAGGGTGCTCCACAGTTTTGGTTTGCGAGCACATTTTACTCCATTCATAGCACAGGACTTGCATATTATAAAGATACAAATATTTTACAATGCCAGTTTCATTCCTCACAGCAAGCTCTCAAAAGATACCCCACAGGTCTATAGATTTAAGAATACTCTTTAAAAATACATGTAAAGGGAAAGAAACAAACACAATTTTATAAAATACCCTAACACTTTGCATTTCCATTGCACCTTCTACTGATGAGTTCAGAAAAATTAATGAATTAATTTTCAATGCTCCTGTGAGGTTGTTAATTATCTGCTATCATTTCCCCCATTTTTCAGAGGTTAAATGACCCAGGGCCACAAAGGAAGATTGTGGCAGACTTGAAAATAAAACCCAGATCTCCTGACTCCCAGTTCTATCATTATGTCTTTTCCCAGAACAGCCTTTGGGAAGACAGCAGAGCTCAGTGAACTACTTTGTGTTTATTAGAGCTGGCATAATTGTCCCTTTCTCTCCTCCCCTTTCCCAAGACTAAATCTCATCTTTAGTCCTTAACACAGATCCATCACTACAGTATCTGTCCATCTGAGTCTCAAGAACTTCTGTTTGTCAATCTCTACTTTGTAGACATGAAACACATACAGAAAAACTAATTTGTTCAATTATACAAAGCCTAAGGTGGATTTTGGAACCATGTTGGGACCACTCAAGGCAGTGCCTTAGCTACTGGCACATAATTCCTCTCTAATCACCTTCCCTGGGCATCCCTTTTGTCCAAAAGGATTCCATATACAGAGCATAATCTACCAAACTGTTGAAAAAATTTATGCCTTGACTAACTGGTCCTCTCAGGACACTGTGTGCTTGACCCCATCAGCTGAGAGCAATTTGTTAATGCTGGTGTTTCAGCAACTTCTGAAGACACCTCCCAAAGAAACATTCAGCAAAGAAATCAGGCCTACAGAAATGAAGGTACAAAGCAAGGGATCAAATTATAGCTCAGTACCTTAAAGTCACAATAGAAAATAGAAACACTAGCTGTCAGTACATATTTTGAGGTCTCTTAAAGAAATACCTTCTACCAAATGAATTTCTGTGATGCTGCTGATGCTCACTTTAAAATAACCAACAGGGGTTCCTCTGGTTTTCACAATCCAGAAGAACTATGAACATTAACAAATTATTTTGATGAAATACCAAATTGAAGAGAGTGGCTGACATGAATGACAGAGCTTGAGATCAAATTGACTCTAGAAACTTGAGATTTAGGCCAATATAAACACCATACGGTTCAACAAGAAGAAGTCTTAATGTCTGCTCCTGGGGCAGAACAATCTGGCGTAGTACAGAGGCTGGGGACCAGTTGGTTAAATAGCAGCACTGCTGTGAAGAACTCAAGGGTCAACAATGGATGCCAGAATATGTGTTAAAGCTGTGCTCAACACAAACCACAAGCTGGGCACACCATGACGGACATCTGAAACACTGTATTTAGTTCTGGGTCCCCCACTTCAACAGGACTGTTGGGAAATGGGAAAAGAGTCAGCAAAGGACAGTCTAAGGTCTAATACACATGGGCCACGAGTGCTGAGGGAGCTGGGCTGGTTTAGTATGGTGAACCGGAGGACAACGGCTAATCTAATAGCTGTCTACAGCTAACATAAGGTCACTTACAAAGATGAGGGAGCCAAAAGCTTTTTAGTTGTAGATGATGCAAAACAGCAGCAACACTACAGCTTTAAAAGTTCAGATGCAGCACTGAAGCAGACTACCAGAAGAAGCTGGGGGATCTCCGTCCTCTCAGATTTCCCAAGCTCAACTACACAAAGACACAGCTGAACTTACCCAACACTGGTGACAGCCCTGCTTCTTCGAGCAGGAAGATAGCACAGATGACCTCCAGAGGTCTCTTTCCACCAACATTCAATTTCTGAATTACTAAACAGGCTTCTTTTTTCTTTCATCCCAAAGTAAAACAAGACAACCTTTCTGAGCCCAGAAGCTACTCTGCATTCCCATGTGATTCAAAATATTTTCAACAATTTGCACTTTAACACATCTTAAGCAGCAGAATGGCTGTGGTTCCTTTGACTGCAACATGAGTTGCAGTCACAGGATAAGAGATACCTACAAGTCCTTTAAAACTGTATTGTTTTTAAAAGAACTTACAGAAAAGTTACCAACTTTTTTCTGGTCTTGTTTCTGATTTTTTTATTAGCCTTCAACTTTGCAAATGAGTTTACCAAATCAAACTTACAGGTGACAATTACATAGCAGATTAATCCAAAGTCTTTGTTTTGCTTTGTTTGTGCTGTAACATCTTTTTGGGCATCCTAAGATTATTAGCGGTACATGTCTTTGGAAACAACTTATCTTTTCACAAGCTTTTAACACTGCCAGACTTAAGAGCAACACCACAAAAGCGCACTTCTAGCCTGTAGCCATCTTTCACACTGCGCCTACCAAAATGGGAAGCTACATGTGAGGAATTCCTGCAAGAGCATCTTCGTAACAAAGATCATGAAGGAGAAAACTGGTATGAGAAAGCTGAGATGGAGCGTTTCCTAGGTATCATGGGAAAACGAAAACAATTACTGGACATCTTTGCCTGAATGACACAACCCCATTACTCTGTGCCGGGTGGCTGAGTTGCAGAGAACAGCAAGATTTGTATGTTGACATCTTCTGCCTAGTTCACAAATTTTTGAACAAAAGCATCCAGTCACTTTCTAACCATGACGCAAAATCAAAAATCTAATAGGATACCCAGCACAATATCAAGAGTTCTACATCATCATGTCAGAACCAAAAGCTCTACTTTCACCTTTTTCTGGAACTCTACACCTCACATTATGACATTAACCTGTTGAGGAAGTGACTAATTCTGCAAATCAAATAGGAATTTTTCTTTCACTTCATATTTCTGAAAGGCACGGGCTGCTAGCAACAAACAGGTGCCAAGTCCCATCATGTAACACTTTACTGATGAATGATGCAACCCAGCTCAGCTCTGTCTTTTCTATTGCCATTGTCTGATAACTCTGCTACCTGTAACGCTTGTGATAACATTTATTCGAGGTTAAACTCCACTTTGTTCATGTGCTGTAAGATTTTCATGATATATAAGAGCATGCAAACCAGAATCCGGGGGCAAATATCAGAAGGGCTGGACTACAGAAAACAGAGCGTGCCCTTTCCTCTCCCCCTCCTGAACGTGTTCTGCTCTAGCACAAACTTGTTACTTACAACCTTATTTAAAAATCATTATTTCCCAACCCATTGCTAATTTTTCCACTTCTCAGTCTAATCGCAGCATGCCCAGGACATGTATTCCACCACCCCAGTGGGCACTAATGCTGTCACAGCAAAACAAGGACTACTGGAAGTCAGCCGCTGTTCTCAGCACACTTTGTATGCTGCGCAAGGCTTCTACAAAACAGTCCTACGTTTTTTTCCCCATCTGTAACAGGCAAACCCCAATCCAGACCTCCACAAAGCAACTGTCCTTTATTTTTGCTCAAGGATAAAGCCTCAACAGCAGAAATCATCTCAGCTTTTAGCAGACAAGCAAGAGACAGTTAAAAAGAGGCGGCCAGCAATACTCATTGAAAAGTAAGCCCTGGATATTGGATTAGGCACATAAAGCCTGTATGTCAAGCTCTTACAAGCAATGCCTTGATGCATTCTGCATCTGTTGTCTACCCCATCTATACATGTCTACACATACATATGTGTATATAGCTATATGTAGACAGACAGATATACATCTTGACATTAACATGAAATTCATGGTAAGCTACCTGTCCCACTCTGGAGCTGTAAAAGAGTGCCTCTTCAAATACATCGTATATGCATCAGCTGGTTGCTTAAGTTGATTAGCAGGGGGCAGTTAAATTACTATGCTAATCCATGTATTCTCAGCACTGTTTCCTTGATATGGATATGTGTATATGCTTACTGAGAAGCCTTGATTAGTTCAAGCTTCAATGTGTCAAAGGCTCCAGATTCTTTCCAAAGAATAATTTTAGCTGTACTCACATCCCTAAAGTGTGGGAGCTGATTTGAAAAGGTACTTACCTCTACCATATGCT